TTTATTTTTATTATTCTTTTTATTTTACTTATTTTTATTATTATTCCTTGTTTACTTTATTGTTTTTTGTTTACTTTTTATTATTATTGGTTTATTTTTTATTATTATTGGCTTATTTTCTTTTTAAAATTTATTTATTTTCTTTTTAAATTTTATTTAGCAGTCTTTTATTAATGCTAAAGTCAGTGGGGCACTGCAAATAAAACCACTCTAACACTCATAATTGATGGGACTCTCAATTTAGCAAATACCAGAATCACCCTTAGGGGAGAAGGGAGAGCTGGGAGGAAAAGTTAACAGCATAAAACAATTCAAATTTGGGCACCTTTGGGGAAATAATTTCAGAGTTCTGGGGTTTTGGCCCACACACCCCATGTTGTGACACCCATGGTGACCCGTCCCCTCTGTCACCACAGGACATCGAGCCTGGACTACTACGAGCTGAGGTCCAACAGCTCCCTGGAGGGATACGACAGCATCGGCCCCCCCTTCCACTGCACCTTCAAGGTAAGGAGAGGGCTCTAAATGGGCTGAGGGACCCCTCCCAGGAGCCACCCCGGGGCTGGGCTGTCCCCATCCCACAGGGGACGTCCCCATCCCTGTCCTCTGCCCCTGCAGCTGCAGAACCTGGGCTTCTTCCCCGTGGAGGGGGTGACCATCAAGATCACCATCCCCGTGGCCACCCGGGCGGGCAACCGCCTGCTGCTGCTGACTGAATTCACAGCGGACCAGGTAGGAACTGGGGGGTTCATCCCTGTTAAAACATCAGGGTCCCCTCTGTGCCAGGGGTGGGGTTGGAGACACCCTTGGGGTCACCCCATCCATTTGTGACCCCTCAAACTCACACAGCACAGACGGGCTCAGCTCGTGTCTGGGCTTCATTTTGCATTCGTTTGGCTGGAAATGTGGAAAACGGTCGCTGCCAAAGGGTTTAGTCCAAATATTTCTGTGACACCCCAGCACACTTGGCTGGCGTCCTGGATGGGGCTGGTTTTTGCTGGGGAGAGGCACAGAAAAATGCCAGAATAAATTAAAATAGGATGCTGGACTATTCTGGGGGCCAGGACTCCCTCCAACCTCGTGGCACAGTCACATCCCACAGCGACCCAAGCACAAGCAAAGCCTGGGGGGGGTGCTGGGACACCCCCATTTCCACCCAGATGGGTGCTGAGCATTGGGCAGAATTTGGGGAGGGGGTTGCCACGGTCCCCATCCCCATTCTCAGAGCCCATCGGTTGTCCCACAGGAGAACACCACCTGCAACATTTGGGGTAACACCACCGACTACCGCAGGACGCCCTCCGAGGAGGACCTCTCCCGCACCCCCCACCTGGTACGTGCCCCAGGGTGAGCCCTGAACCCCCACCCAGGATGGGGACACCCCACAACCACGGAGGAGGATGGGCGCATGATTTCTCCATCCCAAAACCTTCTTCTTCCCCTCCTCACAGAACCACAGCAACTCCGACGTCGTTTCCATCGACTGCAATGTGAAACTGGCCCCCAACGAGGAGATGAACTTGCACTTGCGGGGCCATCTGTGGATGAAGTCTCTGAAAGCAGTAAGTCCTCCCCAGGCAGAGCCCTCACAATGCAAAAAAACACGGGGTTTGGGGGGTATTTTGGGGCACCCCCTGGCCGGTGCTCACGTCCAGCATCTCTCTGCGCAGCTGAAGTTCAAGTCACTGAAGCTCACCACGAACGCCGCGCTCCAGCGACGCTTTGGGAGCCCCTTTGTCTTCCGTGAGGAGGACCCCAGCCGTCAGGTGAGCCCCCCCACAGGCAGAGCGGTCACACACACAGACCTGGTTTTGGGGATTCTGCAACACCCCAGTAGGAAAACCCCTGCGGTCAGAGCTGGAGCGACTCAGCTCTGCAGAGAGCGGAGCAACTTGGTGCAGTTGTGGTCAGAGACGAGCAGCTCTGATCCCAGCACCACCACATTGAGGAGGGCAAACCCGGGCCAAATTGTTGATGCATGGGGTGGGCGACCTCCCCAGCAGCTCCAGCATCCTCCCAAATGGAGGGGATGCTCAGCACCCCCACCATGGCACCATCCCCCCTGTCCCCTGCCCAGCCCTTGCACCCCATTGCAGCAGAGCATTTCCATGCTCTTTCCAGATAACGTTTGAGATTTCCAAGCCGGAGGAGTCGCAGATCCCCATCTGGATCATCCTGGGGAGCACATTTGGGGGGCTCCTGCTCCTGGCCCTGCTCGTCCTTGCGCTCTGGAAGGTGAGAAACCCCCACTGGGGGCTCGGGGGAGACCCCGATGCATGGGGATCCACAGGCACTACAAAAATCTCCTCTAACCTCTTTCCACTTCCATATCCTTTAGATGCAGGTTTATATTCTTTACATTCAGGTTTATATACTTTATATCCAGGTTTATATTCTGTATTTTCAGGTTTATATTCTTTATAATTAGGTTTATATTATCTATATTCAGGCTTGTATTATTTATAAACCTCCTGGCAATATCCTGTTAAAAGAAAGCTGCTTTCCGGCCACCAGGGAAGTAAAATTTGGGTTTTCTTTTGTGTCTCTTGACTCCACAGCTGGGATTTTTTAAGAGCGGGAGCCACAGGCGTGCAGAGGAGCGGGAGCGGAGCACCCAGGAGTGACGCTGCAGGGGTCACCACATCCCCCCTGCTTCCTGCACCCCATCCCAGCAGGGGTTCGCCTCTGGGTGCTGAGCTCGGGTCTGCATCGAGACGAGTCCACCTCAACAGGTCCAAAAGCCAAAAAAAAACCAACCCCCAAAATACCTCTATCCATACCAAAAAAATCCCCCCAACCCCTACTTGGTGAGAGGGGCTTCAAAGGGGGATGCCAGGAGGATGGAGGGGCCACCGAAGAGACACGTCCCATAACCTGGGGCAAACTACAGGGCTGGAAAACCCTTACACAAAAATCTTTATGGAAATAATTTTCATTACCAAATGAGGATTGCTCATTCCCCTGGCTTTGCTGGCCGTGGCTCTCAAACTGCGTCGCATTCGTTAACCGGAGCGATTGGGTGGAGATCCTTAATTCGCCGCCTTCTTAATGCACTGAATAGAAACGATAGCAAATTAAAGCACCTTAATGCAAGTCTCCAGTGTCCAGCTGTACATACTTATTCTAAAAGATATTTACCTGTTTAAGCAAAGGAGAAAAAAAAAAAATTCTTCAAAAAATTTTAACAAAATCCCAAAAATTTTGAAATGTTTTCTCCAAACCAAGCAGTTTTTGAAGAGCTTGTGGCCAGCGAGGGTCCACACGTGTATCATAATTATTGTACATATTTGGTGTCACGCGAAACCGGATCAGCGGTGCTGTTTGACAAAAATTCTCTCTTTTTGCATTACAGAATTATTTATGCTAATATTAATTTTATGGATGAAAAGAAAAGCATATGTCCGCCGGACGTGTAATGAAGTTTGTTAAATACTGTCCTAGTATTTTTTAAGGATTAAAAATACAGTATTTTAAAAAGTATCGGTCTCTGCTCCCCTTTTGTGCTACCCCACATCCACAGCTTTGCTGGGCTCATGGGAAAAGGACAGGGCTCAGGCTTTTTCCTCTGTTGATTTATTATGGGATCCATGGGTTTTCGCAGCCTGGTTTTAAAGGGATGTTGTTGGGGCTGATGGACGGCCAGGGCTGGAGCCCCAGGGCCCCTTTGGAGCACGAATCAGCCTCCCTGCATTGTATAAAATGGGACGGGATGGAAGAAAATGTGGTATTTTCTTCATTGCAAGCATCCTCACCGTGAATAGGAGTTGTTGGTGTCCCAGTTTCTGGCTGATCTGGGTACCAGGGGGCCCAGCTGGGGTGCAGGGTTACCCTGGAAAGCCAAAATCCCAGTGCAGGTACCAGGGTGGGCGCTTGGGGCTCTGTGAGTCCAGGGCACCCAAAGAGACCCAGTTTTGCTGGTTTATTTTCATTCCCTCTTCACACACAACCAGCTTTTCCTTATTGCTGTAGAAAGCGCATAGGCAGGATGCAGGAGGACTCCTGATGGTGGCTTTCAAACCTTTTATTGCTGGGAAAAAATAAATAACAAAGTGCTTTTCAAGGCTTTTCCCAAAAGCATCTCAGCCCTTGGTGCTCTGAGCAGCGTGGTCGCTTCCTCCCCTCTTTGGAGGGCAGCAGGGGCCGGCAGGACCCTTTGAGGGGTGACCCCAGGGATGGGGGGGTAACCTCCTGCTGCCATCCAGCTCCACAGCCACATATAAGCACATACACATATGCATGTGCGTATATATTTTTTATATTTTATATATACACATGCCTGTGTGTATATATATTTTAAAAATA